GTTATTTTAAACATGATTTCCCACTAGGCTACAAATTCAAAAATGGTGATAGTGTCGCAACGAACAACATGTCAACAAATTCATAAATTGTAGTCAACGTTGCGAATGATCTCTCCAAGAGTGAATCACTTGGAGAAGGAATTACCATCACTCCTGAAATCTACCACAAGGTGATACACTTAATTAAAAAGTCATAAACTCCTCCGTTATAGGAGTTGTAACCATCCAAGTCAACACAATTTTTATAAATGAAATTTTGTTGAATAAGGTATTCAGCACAATCCAACCATTGTTTGGATCCTTGATAGTGGGGCATCAGACCATATATGTTATTCTTTGTCATGTTTCAATTCTTTTCAAAGAATCCCTCCCATTCAGGTAAAACTTTCAAATGGTACACTCCTGTCCACTAATATGTGTGACACCGTCATCTTTTCTAATTCTTTCATACTGTATGATGTTCTTTTCATAATTGATTTTAACATTGTTTTTATTACAAAATTGACAATATCTCTTACCTGCAAATTGACTTTCTCTTTTACATAATGCGTAATTCAAGACTTTTCTTCATAAAGATGATTGGACATGCTAAAATTGCTCATAAACTTTGTATTAGATGATCCTACTGAGCCACTTATACCACACTCTATCAATTTTGTTTGTAACACTACTACAAATAAAGCTTTTAACGTCGGTTCTGGAAGGCTTTCAACGTCGGTTCTAATTAAACCGACGTTGACGTTGAAAGTCGCAACTTTCAACGTCGGTTCTAATTAAACCGACGTTGAAAGTATGATTTTTTAAATTAATAATTTTTATTTATTTACAACCCCTTTACCCCCTTTTATTTATCTCTCTTCATATTATATTTTTATTAGGTCCTCCATCTCTTTATATTATATTTTTTAGAAGTTTTTTAATTTTTAAGAGAATTGTCATTGGCAGGATTCGAACCCAAGTACTTTAGAGTTGGAGGCCGATACTCCAACCACTAAACTACTTGAATTTTTTGATAATAACATACAAATAAATTATATTTATATACAAATAAATATATATCCGTGTAAATATCACTTCTAGAAATCCAACCCAGTGACCTTGAATCTCAAATCCGATTCCAGCTTCGAAGATCTTTAACCCAGCATGCATGACCTGACCTCAAGCTTGAAATCCAACCCAATGACCTTGAATCTCAAATCTGAGTGACCAAAACACCCAATCAAAACCCAAGCAATTTCGAATCTCAACCCCAGCCTCAACCTCGACGAACTCGAGGCCGAACCCCAACTCTGGCGACATCGAACCCCAATGTCAAGCCAAACCCAATTGTCATGCTTGTGAAACCCAACGCAAACCCAGCGGAGCTCGAACCCTAACGCATACCCTAGTGACGTCGAACTCTAACCTCGAGCCAACCCCCACTTTAATTCGGTCGCAATTAGCGATTGATTGATTGCTCAAGGATGTGTAAAAGATGATATATTCAATGTGTGTTAAAAAAGTTCAAGCCAAACTGTTTTTATAGAAGATTTTCAAAACTGCTGGTTTAATTAATCTGTTAAAAGATTCTTTTAATCTGTTAAAAGTGCAGTTTTAATCTGTTAAAACTTCTTTTAATCCATTAATACGTTCTTGATTCTTTAACTGATTTGTTTTAACCGATACGACAACGTTTATATCAATTAAAACACTTTACAAAAAATCTTCTAAGTTGATTTAATCGATTGTTTCGCGATTCAATCGATTGAAATACTCGCAAAACTTTCTCGTAAAACTTTTCAAGTTATTTTAAGCTGATAAAAATAAGTTTTAATCGATTAAAACGCATGTGCAGAAATTGTTTTAATCGATTGAAACGAGATTTAATCGATTAAAATAGTTCTGATCGGTCATAACTGCATTCTGATCGATCATAATTGAAACAATATAATAGCAGTTCCAGGTTAACCGCTATCTAAGTGAGCTTTTAAGAGCGGTTCCTGTGTAACCGCTATCTAAAATGTTTTTCGCTTGAGCGACACTCTTCTCGCTCGAGCGAAACGCCCCCTGCACAAAATTGGCATTCTCGGGTTGTATTTCGCTTGAGCGACACTACTCTCGCTCGAGCGAAATAAGATTCTGATCGATCATAACTTGAAATGATCGATCATAATTGAGAGGATATAATAGCGGTTCCCTTATAACCGCTATCTAAAGTGTATATTAGATAGCGGTTCCCTTATAACCGCTATCTAAAGTGTATATTAGATAGCGGTTCCCTTATAACCGCTATCTAAAGTGTATATTAGATAGCGATTCCCTTATAACCGCTATCTAAAGTGTATATTAGATAGCGGTTCCCTTATAACCGCTATCTAAAGTGTATTCCCTTACTGATGACAATTTTCAAATTTAAGTGAGTTTTTGGCTGAAAAAAAATAATAAAAAAAGACTTTCCACGTCGGTTGTTCCCTGAACCGACGTGGAAAGTGTCAATAAGTAAAAAATAAAAATAAAAAAAAGACTTTCAACGTCGGTTCATATGGGAACCGACGTAGAAAGTACTTTTTATGTCGGTTGACTAAGAACCGACCTAGAATGTGTTTAATATTCAATTTCAACGTCGGTTCATCTGAGAACCGACGTGGAAAGTACTTTCTACGTCGTCTCAGCTATAACCGACGTTAAATAACGATGTAGAAAGTATATTTTGTAGTAGTGTAACATGCTAATATTTTAGGTTAGGACATCTTTCTCTTACTGATTTACATAAAATTGTATATAATTTTTCATATATGTTTCTTTCAAATCCAATTAAATGTGTGGTTATTGGCATTTTCCTAAACAATCACGTTTATATTTCATTTTATATATTCACTCGTAAGATGAAAATGAAAAACAGGTAGTATTAATTCAATTATTTTTGGTTCATGCTATTTAATTTAATTAAAATTACAATTAGCAAGCAACCTATTCAATTCTCACATGCAAAAAAGATGGATGGGAGTTGAGAGTAATTGCCACATGCTTCCGGCCAGTAATCATCATTCCACTTTTTTCCCCGAGCAACCATCGAAAACAATTAACTGCGACAATTATATGTAACTACATATGGCATAAAACGTAGTATTCCAATAAAATATTAATCATTGTCGGGACGATAATATTGAGGATGTACTAAGCAATGTTGTCGAGTGGTATCACGAAGAGTGAAGGAGGTATAAATTAATGCTATATAAAAAATATAATATTAAGAAAAAAAAGTTTTTTTTTTAATTAAAATTCAATGACAAAAACTCGGGAAGCAACTACCACGCGCAAACCCCATTCTACTTCACGTTTATAATCCTCCTCTTCCCCGCTACTTTCCATAAATCACAACTCAAAAGTCAACACTTGTATTTATGACTTTTGAGTGCTGTTATAAAGACTTGTTTTTCTTGATTTAAATTCAATACAAATACCAGGGAAACAATTGCCATACACAACCCCCATTCTAGTTCACTTTTTCATACTCTTAGATGAGATGACCATCATCCTATGCTCGTGGGAATTGATATCTTATTGTTTCGAGTTTCACACGAAAAAAAAATAAAAATCAAGCAAACTAAGTATGAATTCGAGTTTAGATTTTTCTTACTTAAAAAAAAAAAATTGGTAACGGAACAACTCCTTTCTTATCTTAATTTTATATTTAAATTTAAATTTCAAAATATTAATATTTTTAAATATCTCTTACTTTTTCATATTTCATATATAATTACATATTTGCTTATTCTCAATTTCGTATTTTTCATTTTTTTTCTCACACACCTTTTACTCTATTATATTTCTTAATCTCACTACCTAATCCGTTAAACACACTATTATATTTTTCTTACCTGTTCAACATACTGTTATATTTTTTTCTTATCTTTTAATTTTTTTTTTCATATTTCTTTAAAATCTTCAACAAATTTAATGAATACAAAATTAATTTTTTACTTCATTATTTCTCTAAATATTATCTACCGATCTTAGTAAAATCTAATATATTTTATTTTCATATTATCTTTATTAAATTTTATATTAAATAATTTTATTTTGAAGGATTGAAAATTTTAAATTATTGATAGTTAAAATTTGTATTATTTTATATTAATTAAATAAAACATAATTTATTATTTTTTTATTAGTTATATATTTTATATTTATTAAAATTTTAGAACAATAAATTAAAAAAAATTATACTTATAATTAAAAATTTAAATACAATATTATAATATATAATAATAATATTATAAATATTTATATTTATATAACAAAAATAATAAAATTTTTATTTTATATATTTTAATATAAATATAATAAATTAAAAAACATATTCAATAATAATTTAAAATTTATAAAAATATAAATATTTATTTATGTATAAAAATAATACATAAAAAATTAAAATTATATTATTATAAATATAATATTTTAAAAAATAATATGAAACCGGACTAATCAAAGAAAAAACTCAAAACCTATGACCAAGAAAAATCTGAGATTTATTTTCGAGTGTCTATCGTGCGAGTTGCTATCAAGAGTTTTTTAAGAATAAAAATAAATATTTTACTGTGAATCTCCTTATTTAAAAGTAGAGAAATTTGATTAAAATAAAAATAAAATTATTTGATAAACAACTCTGATTATATTTTAAACAATTTAATTATCTTACTCGTAATAAAATATTTAATTTAATTTTATTCTTAATTCACTCTCTTTAAAAACTTCATCAATACCCTAATCTCAACTTATTCATCAATGAGAACCAAGATCATTAAGAAAGTTGGGAGAGACAAAAACCTAGCATCGTACCCACATACACTTTCCATAGGTTGCGAGTCAAAAGTCAACACTTTTTTTTTACTTTTGAGTGCTATTATAAATACTCCGCACTCCAAAACCAAACGGCAAAATTCCCACTTTTCCTTTGTATTACTTACCAAGTTAAAGTTTAAAGTGAAAAGTTATATCAGCTGTTTACTGCCAAAAAAATGAGCAATGAAGTTCATTCTTTACATGTATTCTTCATCCCTTTCTTGGCTTATGGTCATTTCATTCCCACCGTTGACATGGCCAAAATATTTGCTGAAAAGGGTGTGAAGGTCACTATCATCACCACGCCCCTCAACGCACCTTTCATCACCAAAACCATCGGAAAAGCCAAAACCACCAGCAACATGATTCATGTCCAAACGATCGAGCTCCCATGTGCCGAGGCTGGTCTACCTAATGGGTGTGAAAACACTAACTCCATCACTTCCGGGGCTTTATTTCCTGCATTCTTTAAGGCTTGTGGATTACTACAAGACCCGTTTGAGCAACTATTGCTTGAGCAACGTCCAAATTGTGTTGTTGCTGATGTTATGTTCCCATGGGCAACTAATTCAGCAGCCAAATTTGGAGTTCTTAGCCTTGTGTACGACGGGACTAGTTTCTTCTCCATTTGTGCTAACGAGTGCATTAGACTCTACGAGCCCTACAAGAATGTTACTTCTGATTCAGAACCCTTTGTCATTCCCAACCTTCCGGGGGAGATTAAAATGACAAGGATGCAGGTGTCACCTCACGTCATGAGTGATGAAAGTCCAGGCGTGACAAAGTTGCTGGAGGAAGCTAGGGAATCAGAGTTGAAAAGCTATGGGATGGTTGTTAATAGCTTTTATGAACTTGAGACGGTTTATGCAGATCATTTAAGGAAGGTTCTTGGAAGAAGATCATGGCATATAGGCCCAATGTTTCTTTCCAACAGGGTTAAGGAAGCAAAGGCACATAGAGGAACGGAGGCATCTCATGATGAGCATGACCATGAGTATCTAAAATGGCTTGACACAAAGAAACCCAATTCAGTTGTTTATGTATGCTTTGGAACTACCACAAAGTTAACTAATTCTCAACTTAGGGATATTGCTACGGGTCTTGAGGCTTCAGGAGAACAATTCATTTGGGTGGTGAGAACAAGCAAAGAAGATGGAGTTGAATGGCTACCTGATAAGTTTGAGGAAAAGATGGAAGGTAAGGGACTAATCATAAGAGGGTGGGCACCTCAAGGATTGATTCTTGAGCATGAAGCAATTGGAGCATTTGTGACACATTGTGGATGGAATTCAATTTTGGAAGGAGTGGTTGCTGGGGTACCTATGGTAACTTGGCCTATTGCTTATGAGCAATTTTTCAATGAGAAATTGGTGACTGAGATCCTTAAAGTTGGAGTACCTATTGGAGCTAAAAAATGGGCTGCAGGAGTGGGAGATACTGTTAAGTGGGAGGCAGTGGAGAAGGCTGTGAAAAGGATAATGAGTGGGGAAGAAGCAGATGAAATGAGGAACAAAGCTAAGGTGCTGTCGCAACTGGCTGGGGAAGCTGTGGAAGAAGGAGGTTCTTCTTACTCAGATTTCAACGCTTTACTTGCTGAGTTGGGTTCACTCACCAACCAAAACAAGTAATATAATGTTTTCCTATCCAACAATTTTTGCTGATAATTCTTGAAAAAAATAATACACCTACGTTATATTAATATAATAATCTTAATAATTAATAATAAAAAAATAAAATTAAAAGGTTATTATTTAGTTATATGTTTAAAAGTAAGTTATCAATCCATTTGATAATTATTTTTAAATATATAATAATTTGACAACGATTTAATTTTATTTTTAATAGTTTTTTTTATTATAATTATTATATAATATAATGTGTGTCACCTGATTATTATTTTTTTTTAGATTGTGAATTAATTATTGTTGTTCTTTCTTATTATATATTCTAGTTCTTATTAAAAGAAAAAGCGAATATATTTAATATTTTAGAACATCTGTTAGAGCTGCTTAAGTCGTGTGTGCTTGATAAGAGTTTATGATAAACGTAAGAGTGGTATTAGAGCGAATTGTCAACAAGTGAGTTAAGTATAATGGAGTATGTGAAAATATGCAGGTCTACAAATATGTTAAAGTTGTATTTTATGGTTTAAATTAAATTAATTTTATTTTGGTTTGTTTAGGCTAAAGTTTATAAAGATTTATATATGTTTTATAGAATAATAATAATAATAATTTTTAAATAAAAATAATATTATAATTTAATTAAAGAATATATATATATATATATATATATATATATATATATTATTATTGTCGCAATAAAAAATTGTGATGGAAGGAAAAAAATATGTTTCTAAATAAAAAATAATAATAGAGTTGTTATTAATATTTATTTTATAGAAAATATCGAACAAATTTTGAAAAAAAAAATGATATACAAAACAAAAGGTAAATATATGTGTATAAAAGATATTAATATCTTATCGCATTCGTTCTAAAAATGATTATTTTTGATTAGATGTTAAAAATGTAAATATCTTACCATTATTTATTTTATCTTACAAAATTATATATCTATTAAATGTTGTTATTAAAAATAAAATATTTTATTTTTTTATTTTTGGCTCGATAAAAGTTATTTGTAATAAAAAATTAGGGTGACAGTTATTTGTAAAAAATATTTGTAAATAATTTATTTTAATTTATCTATTTGTGTTATTAAATTAAAAATATATATTTAAAATTGTTTTAAAATTGAATAATTATGTAATAATAAAATTATAAGTATTTCTAAAATGATTATCATTTTATAATTTAAGTAATAATTAAATAAAAATACATCCAAATAATTATTAATATTTAAATTATTATATTTATAATTCATATTTTTTTATATATATATATATATATATATATATATATACTTAAAAGAAAAAGTATTTTATTATAATCAAATATTAAAATGATTATTATAGTTTTATGACAACTAAACTAGATGTATAACCAAAGTAGTTAACTTTTTTTATGAGATATTTTGTTACCACTCTAATAAAAATAATACTACATATTTAGTAATTTAATAAAATAATATTTGAGAAAAGAAAATGATATTTATTAAAATTTAAATTGTCAATACAGATACACTAATTTAAATCCTTTTTAAGAAAAGAAGTTTGAATCATTTTAATTTATAATTTAAACAAAAATAAATAAATAAATAATTTTTCAAACCTATTACTATTTGCAACATATTTTTGTTATGTTGTCTCAAGTTTAACAAAAACACTAAGTCCAATAACTCAAAAAAAAATCCTTTCATATTTATTTTACTATTTAAAACTCATTTTTGTTATTTTCATCCTAAAAAACAAATAGATTATTTTTTTGCTTAATCCATCTTAAATCATTAGTCCAAACACCTTCTACAAATTTGTTGGGCCTTAAAACTAATTCAAACACATTTTGTGGTTCAAACCTAACCAAGTACTAAAACTTATTTTTATCTCAAATGAAATAAGGCACACAAAAGACTTGTTTGGTGATGGTTCATGATGATTGAAAGAACATGTTTTTCTTTCTTCTTCTTTTTTTAATTAATTTTGGTGTATTTAGAACTTTTTATTTATTATTACTATTTTTATAGAAAAAAATGAGATGTTTATTATTATAAATTAATTTGATAAGAGATTAATTTATTTTATAATTAAATATAATTTTTTTTTTACATTTACTCATTGCACGATCTAATCTAATGATTAAAATCAATTATTATTTTAGATTAATAAATTATTAAAAAATAATTTTGTAACTTTTATTTTATAATTTATATATTAAATTATTATATTTAGAATAAAAATTAATTTTATTAATATAATTTAAACTTTTAAAAAATCTTTTTTATTTTTGTTTAAATTTTTATAATTAATTATTTTTATATAGAAACGTTAATAACTTTTTTAATTTTCAGACCAAAATGTTAACATGCTAGTTTAACATAAGATTTGACCAAGTCAAAAATTATTATCTATTTATAAATATAAATCAGATTAATCCATCACATTTTTTTCCTGCATTTGATAACTCTATTATGTGTCCATACAAACACAAATCTTAAAAATTAGTCTGCACCGTGTGTTTGTATACATTCATTTAGATATAGAAAAAATAAATAATTATATTATAGTCTTTCAAAGTAAATATGTTAAATAGAAAAAAAAATTAAATATAATTTTATCTCTTGAATACTATTTGAATGAATAAAAACAGTTTAGAATAAAATTATTTTAGTCCTTTAAATTTAATATTTAAAAATTCAGTCATATTTTTATTTTAAAAATTAAAATTTTTAATTAAAAATACCAAAATCAGAATCATCTTAAATTTCATTATTACATAATTAAGCTTGGTAAAGAGTATTAATTTCTTTGAAATTTTATTATTTTTTTATCTCTCTGTATTATACATTAAGTCCTTTAAATTCTTCACTTATAAACATTTTCTCATAATTTAAAAAATATTATCCGGTATACTCTTATAAGAAAATTACTTTACACATATTAGAAAGATACGAGTTATTTAATATTTCAAAATATTCAACGCAAAAATAGGATATTTTAATCTCGAATTGAAAAATATCAAATTTATTATAAGGATTGATGTAAATGTGTATCCACATTTTTATTATAATAAATATATTAGCTTTAATATTTTATATTTTTAAAATAATGTATATAAGAAAAATAATTAACTAAATGATAGTCACGTTAGAAAAGATTAATTTGGATTTAATTTTAAGAATTTGTAGCATGAGCAATGATTCTAAATAATGAAATAGATAATTATTTTGAGCAGTTATTAATTTATATCTTTATTAAATAATTAAGTATTTTGATAATAATTTTATAAATTATTAGACAAAAACAGTAATAAAAGAAATTGAGATTGTTAATGTAACAGTATAAAAGTGTACGATATAATACTATAATTTATCAAGTTGCGTCTAATTTTTTTTCTTTCAAATCTTACAGTATTGCTCTTTCTTAATAATATACGCGTTAATGTAGTTGTTGGATTTCTTTTTCTTTTTCAAGTGATACAAAAATTTGTCTTCAACAAACATATTTGGAATGATTTTGGGTGAGACAATAATAAAATTATTTTATCAGTTATGTAATTTTTATTATTTTAAATCATTTTTAATTAATGAAATTATGTTTTTACATTTCAAATTTTATTTTATGAAAAATAGTACAAATTAATTTCTTATTTTCTTGTAAATTTATTGTTTCATTGAGGTAATTATTACTTAATAAAAGAAAATAATATTGGTTAAATGTAAAAAAAGTAAAATTTACTTGTAAGACTCATTAAAAATTTTAAAGTTGATGATTAAAGAGAAGATTTACTTAATTTAAAAAAAAATACATAATATATAATATATACTGGTAGAACTTAACAGTGTTATAACCCCATAGTTAAAAAAAAACTAATAATTATTGTATGAAAATAAGTAAAAAAAAACGACTTGTATTAAAAATAAAATATATAATAATTGTTGAATGAAAAAACATTTTATCCAAAGTTTTTTATGATCTCTTTGTCAATTCTATCTCCTCGAAATTGGGTTAGTGTGTCGTATGGATAAAATGAAATTTTTATTTTCTATAATATGAAGGACCAATGTATGGTACCATTAAGTTTAAGTAGAATTTTTTTTTTTTTTAGACTTTCATATCTAGGAAAACTAGTGTAAACATCGCAATCAAGAGCTCCCAAATGAGGAAATTTTTTCTACAAGTAACACCTATTCGTTTTTTAATTACTCAAATAGCATATTGTACATTTTATTTACCTCGATAACACAGCTTTTTTTAAGTTGAGAATTCAATTTTCCGGAATACTGAAACCCAAACGTAATTATATTTGATAATTTTTTCAAACAATTTAGAATTCGATTTTCCGACAACCAAATTCTGAATAGTTTTTTTTTATTTTGTTAAGAAAAAAAACTAACTAATATATATATATATATATATATATATATATATATATATATATAATGTTATAATATTTTATTTAACATTTATAGTTTTCAATTAGGTATTTAAAAAGCTTTGTATATTTCTAAAATTAATAATATATTTAGATTTATTGTTGAAAGTAGTAAAATAATATTTTTAAAATATATTATAGTTAAATTTATTTGTATGATTAAACTTTTTTTAATTTTTTGATTTATTTGATATTATAATTTTTTTAGAAATTAATAATAAATTAGGAGGATAATAAAAATCTTAAAATAAATTCTATTTTAGAATATATATATATATATATATATATATATATTAAATATAAATTATTTTTAAGTTGATAATTATTATTCTAATTAATGCAAAATATATATATAATTTATAAGAGCGATTAACATTTATTATAATTTATTCTAATTAATTATTCATATATGTGTCACTTTTAAGAGCGGTTAACATCTTAACCGCTCTTAAAAGTGAACATATAATAGCGGTTTCATGTTAACCGCTCTTAAAAGTTAAGATATAATAGCAGTTTTACGTTAACTGCTCTTAAAAGTGAAGATATAATAGCGGTTCCACGTTAACCGCTCTTAA